GTCATGGTGCCTCTGTCAGAGCTCTATGCAGGGCCCCAGGCAACCACTTTCAGCTTCCTCCTCCACCACACTTCTCAGACAAGCCACATTTATTGACTATGCGCCATGTGACCGGCCAGCGCCGGACCCCAGGGATGAGGGAGACAACATGGAAGCCAGGGGCCAGTCCCAGGTCAAGGGCTTTTCTCCCATTGTTCAGTCTGTGACCACACACAGCCAGCAGTGAGCCCACCTCACCCCGCCCCCCCGGAAACCTGGCTGACTGTCTCCCCTCCTGCCGCAGTCACCACCCACAGCTACTGGGAGCAGTGTGAGTGGGCTCCCATCTTGTTCCCCCTTCAGCCACATTGCACATAGCGTGTGTGAGTCTTCCCACTGCCCTTGGACTCAGACACAGGAGTGTTGGCCTGTGTCGTGTCCTGAGTTACCACAGTGCTTGGTACAATCCCTGTACTGACCAGCTATGGATACACACCCCCACGTACCTGTGCCCAACTTTCAGCTCTGAGTTACCTGATCCCCAGGGCTCAGGGAGGACTGGAATACGAATATGTGCAGGGTTTCTAGAGGTTGCAAGTTCAGGGTCAGGGCAGAAGCACCACCTCCTGCACAGTGTCCACCTGAGAGCTTGGCCCGTGCACCTGGTCCCTTGCAGAGTGGGTAGGCGTGACAGCCTTGAATGTTCTCAGTCACTGCTGGGAGCAGTTTGGCTCTTGTGGCCTTGAGGGGGCTCAGTGGGGGAGCCGGGCACTGTTCCCCCTCCACCTCTCCTCTCAGGTGCTCTGTTTCAGAAGGGACATAAAATAATCTCACTAACAGGAGCCATGACAGTGCCTGGACCTAAGTCTGCACTGTCTGGGGCTCCTTGAGCTGACCGTCCTTTGCTGACTCCAGGTAGTATGCCCTCTTCCTATCTCCAGCTGCCTACAGGGAAACTGAGGCCCAAGGGACCCTAAGCCACTTCCATGGCAACGTCATAGCTAGGATTTGGCCTTGAGTTCATGGCTCTCCTCATCACAGGCCCTGGAAGTGACCAAGCAAGAGAGTGGCAGGGGTAGGGAGCTCTGGGGTTCCTCCATATCCACCAGCTGGAAGACTGGGGATCTCAGCCTGCCCTGGAGGGCCACCGTGGGGGGTCCCTTCCCCCATTGCCTTACTCAGGAGTAGTACCTCATGCCTCAGTTTCTTCATCTGTACAACTGAGATCCATTGCTTACCTCCCAACGTGGCAGTGGAAGTCACGTGGCTGGGAGGACCCCGTTATAGCACTGGGTTGGAATTAAGTGGCAAATGAAGCAAGCCAGCCTGTCTCCAAGGGAGCCTTCTGTGTGGTCTCAGGAGTCCCAGAGCAGAGTTATCTCAGAGCAAGGAGACTTGGATCCATTTCTCCCAGGAACCAATGACAGCATGTGGAGTCACCCTCTACCTCCAGACTCCACAGACCATCACTGTAGGCTGGCTGGCCCCAGGACACCTGAGCTTCCGTGAGCAGCCAGTGCCTCGCCTTGCTCAGCTCCCACACTCCTAATCTCCAGACTTGGGTCAGCGGTAACTGCACAGAGCCACATGGCCAGCGGGGCCAGGGCTGTTCCCACCCTGAGTCACACCATCTCTCCCTCCCTGTCTTTTATCCATTTGAGTAGGTTGTGCAGAGGGTCAGACCCAGAGCCTTGTGCCCACTAGGCAAGCGCTCTGCTGCTGAGCCACATCTCCAGCCTCCTACCCCACCCCCACCCCATAGCCAGGGTCTTATGTAACCCGGCCTTGAACAGGATTTTATGTAGCCCAGGCTGGCCTCATCCTCCTGCCTCCATCTCCAGAGTGCTGGGATTAGAGGTGTGTGCCATCACTCCTGATTTATGAGGAGTCAGTGTTGAAACTGGGCTCCATGCACACGAGACCAGCATTAAACCAGCCAAGCCACATCCCCAGGCTTCCTTTTACTAAGTCACCCTGGTGGACCTTGAACTTGCAATCCTCCTGCTGTGGCCTCCAGAGGGGTTGAGCTGACAAGCCTCATCACCAGGTCGCCAGCTGTCTTCTTTTGAATCTCCCCTTTAGTGCCTCCTGGGAAGTAAGAACTCCCCAGCCCATATTCCTTCCACCTCTCCCGTGTGGAGGCCAGACTCCCAGGGTGGGATGCACACATCAGCCAGGAACTCAAAGAGGGCCAAGGGCTGACCCTGGTCTCTGTGAGCAGCAGGTGACAGACACCTTTCCTGCCCTGGTGCGGTCCTTTGGCCTGCCTTCTGGGCCTCTGGGCCCCAATCTGAAACTTCCCTGCCCTGTTGGCCTCTTTTGCCTCTGCTCTCCCATGTTTATCTAGCTTCCCCGACCCCTGCAAACACCCAGCACCTTTTTTTCTTCCTTGCTCAAAAACCAGGCCACAATAGAAAGCAATTCCTTGAACTTATTAAAAAATCTAGACTTGTAAATTAATTTGTTCGTGTTGTACAAAGGCAGTGCAGATGGGCTCGTTAGCATGCACACAACAAATAATTAGAGATGAATTTTTAGCCGGCCTGCCTAATGCGCTTGCTGGGTTAATTATGTCAATGTATAATTACACCAGCCCGGGGAGGCATAATGGCACACCCCGCTGAGCAGGCCCGGCCTAATGGCAGGCGTTGGGGGGGGCTGCTGACAGAGGAGAGCCACTGCCAAGTCCCTCACACCTGCTCACCTCGATGCACGCATCGTCCAGCCTTCCGCCACCCCAACAAACAGGAGACAAAGAATAAAACAAGGAATCACCTTGTTCTGCCAGACCCAAAGGCGTCCCATGCGGGCATGGTGCTTGTCTAGACTGCCAAGCTTCAGCCAGGTTCAGTGAGAAGGGAGAAGCAAATGGAAGTGACTCCAGTGTGGACCAAGGGATAGCAAAAGTGGACTTAGAGAGGAATGAGACTGACTGTGGTGGGACCTTTGAAGGGGACACAGGGTCAGAATGGGCTCAATGTGGAGGTCTTCCTGGAAGAGGTGGCATTTGAGCTGCTGGAAGGGGGGAGCATGTTCTTGCTGGCACTCCTGTGCATAGCCTCTGAGGTGAGGGCTGGGGCATCATGAAGAAGGAATAGTTGGGGTTTCTGTGTCTACAGTGAGGCACAGAAGGGGACAGCTGCTTGTCAAAGCTGCACAACAATCCTGAGAATTGAGTGTGTGGGTCAATGGAAAAGGGGCTCGGGATGAGAAGGAACTAGAGCCTCAGGTACCGTGGTCCAGGACACATCCATGAGCCTTGCATGCACCTGCTGAGGCTGTAATTGCACACGCTGGGTCTGGCCACATTCGTAAACTGCCACCAGAGACCCTGACCCCAATTCCTCATCACCTGACTCCCGGAGCCTCGGTTATTGTTGTTGTTGTTTTCATATGACTGTGGGTTGGGTCCAAGCCAGCCACAGGGTGCACTGAGAACTGTGGTTGCCGTTCCTGTGCTGGGATCTGTCCCCTGCAAGGTGTCTCTCCCCTTGACCTCTCGAGTGCATTGGGTGTGATGGCTTACGTCCCGGAGTGGGTTTTCTTCCTCTTAATTGGTCACAGCCCATGGTGTGTCCACCCAGGGGTGAGAGAGAGCTTTCTGGAAACAGGCAGTGAGGGGCTCCAGGAGCAGTAGAAGAGCCACAGAACTGATGGTCATTTGACCCCCAGGTCGGGACGTCCTGGCTCAGCTTGGTTCCCTCAGCAGTTTCGCTGTCTCATGTAGTCACTGTGTATAAGTGGCGACAAGCGGGGGGT